TGCGTCTCGACATGGTATGGAATAGTGGCATCGGGAAGAGCCTTGATATACAGCCTTTGCTTGTCCAGATTGAGAAGTCACAGCTGCGATGGCTTAGACATGTGTTGCGAATGCCTCCAGAAAGGAAGGCTAAGCAACTGTTCCTTTCAAATCTGACCGGCAAAAGGCTCAGGGGACGGCCAACATTAACCTGGTGCAGATATATGGAAGGAGTCTGTTCCAGACTCCATTTGTCTTTTGCCGAAGCTCAGACTCTGGCACAGGATCGGGTACGTTGGAATCTCTGTCTGACATGTCTGCCTCCGCGACCCGAAAGGAGAAGCGGCGATGGAAGATGAAAATGAAGAAGGAGAAACATTTGTGTGAAGGTAGCAGGGGGAAACCTTTAAAATGATAACATACTTTGTATCAGTGCCAGTCGAACCGTATCAAACGCATTTTGTGGCGAAAATATTTTGTATCGTGTGTACCCTACGGAAAATAAACCGTGCCAAAACTGTAGGTCACATCTTCATTAATAACACTGTCTCACAGCTCGATCTGATAAACAGTAACGTTACTTACCTGTCACAGTTTTGCTTAAGACTTTTCACTACACTCCCCTGGGATATTGCAGGCGACCAAGTATACAGCGGCGAAGTCCGCTCTCCGGAGATTTTGAAGTAAACGTGTTTCTTGAACTTGAGAAAGTCGACAAATGAAGTGTTAATAGACGGCGCTACGGACAAATAGCTTCATGCCCTTTCGACAGTTCTGCCTAAGAAAAGGTAGTTTAACTGTCAAACTTATGAGAAGAAATTGTGAACACCGTCCGTACTTGTCCACACTAACGCATAATGAAACGTTAAGCTGTCCACTCCAGGTGGCATTAGGGTACTGCCTGACTGATTAGCGTGCTGATGTATTTTGAAGATGCGCACGTGAACAATTTTTGGGCTCTGTAAAGCATATTTCATGTTTCTTTACAGACTGCTTTCTATCCAAATGTTGTCGACGGCTAAAGAATGTGACAGAAAAACCAAAACTAAACCATACGGCAGCAATACCAGCAACGTTTCTGTTCATTGGAGTGTAATTCGCCATGATAATTGACGTTCTTTGAAAATTAAATTGCTTGTTAAATTTCAGAAAGACCAATCAGCAAGTGAGGAAGTGCCCGCTAACGAAATGAAAACGGATATACACGACGAGATTGATATAAGCATCCATGGCAGCGAAAAGGAAGCATTGTTATCAGCTGTGGTTTGCGGTTAAATAGGTGTTTCGGTTGGCCTCGTTAAGCGCTTCAATTTTTAGACAGACAGACAAACGGAAGAATTTTTTGAAGGCGATGCAATGTTAGGTGAAAAAAACAAACGGCTTTCAATGGCAAGCGAAGACGACGAATCTGAACAGAACGTCGATAACGTCTTCAGACAGGTAGCGATTTTGAGTGACCATTCCGCATAGAAAGCAAAATCTGAGTTCAGCTATGTTGTGGCTTGCTAGGAGATGCAATTATGTTTCTTTGTTTTAGAACAAATTGAACAGACCGAAGAATGGCTCCGAACGTGTGGTTCAACGCGATGTTGCTGAAGAATGTCTGTCTGACGGTAGTAGCAGTGCAAAGCGCAAAATACCGTCAACCACATGTAAACCATACTTTCAGAAAATTGCTCGCGAAGTACTCTACTGTTAGAATATATTCAGATTTTTAAGTTGGCTTTTTTTTTGAAACGCTTTTTCATTTTCTGTCTAGTAATTCCATTCACCAGGATTGAACCTGCGAAATTGGTTTGTTTGCCGCTCATTCTTCTGTAAAATTTACTGGCATTTAACGTAACTACAAGGCAGTAACTCGGTTAGTATGGCGTTTGATTTGCAGTTGAGCATCGCAGATTCGAATCCTAATCATATTATTCGTCTTGCGTTTTTTCAATGTAAATGAGTTCGATCGTGTGGAATGAAACGGGCACTACATGCGTTAGTATTATTTTGCCGTGACAGTTGTCTTCGGAATTAATATACCTGGACTGGCTTCACTGAATGGGAGATCAGCGTCGCACCGTGAATTCTGTGACGGAAGGGTGTCACAGATAATGTCTATCTCGAGAGTGTAAAGGAATTCTACATCCCAGCGGCTACGAACTTCCCATGTCTGTGTCCGTCACTCGGTTTCTTGTGGCTTCTCATCGCAACAAACATTTACTTACGGGAACATTGAATCTCCATTGGTTCGATTGATTGGCATAACTGATCTGAAAAATTTTCATGTTTTAGCGGAATTCAGCAACAGCAACTTGTTCACCACTGAATCGAGTCCGGAGAGTAGCCCTGTTAAACAAAGACCACAGCATTCTAAAAAAGAAGTCAATGTTGCTCTTCACTCAGCTCAAAAGAAAGAAAAGTATGAGACGCCTTCCAGAACCACGATCGTAACAGCGCAGCCGCGCCTGTCTAGAAACGGGTTCTCCCAACGCGCCGCAACAGTTAACTCGCGTGGAGCAGTAGGCAACGGGGACATCGTTCCACCGACGCCTGAAGAAGATCGGCAGAAGAGCGTACTGAAAAGACGTAAGGTAGTGCATAACACTTATGTTGACGAAGACGGGTATTTGGGTAAATGATACAGTAAACTTTTTCTGTTAGAACTTATCCGTTTGCTTTTAGTGACAAAATGCGAGAGCGAAATCGAAACTGTCCGTTTGAAACATGAGCACAGTGGCGTGCAACAAAAGCTGGAGCGCAACGTCGAGGGGGCGTCGAAGCCAAAAAAACAGGCGTCACTGACCTCGTTTTTCGGCAAGAATTGAGAAAACAAATTTTCGTAATTTAGCTCATTTGTCAAACCTGTTTATAATGTGTATATATAAATATTACTTTTATTGTAAAGTAGGTGACGGCTATCGACCGCATTTGAATTTTTGGCATATACTCATGATTGATTGCATGAAAGGCCGTCTGCTACTTCCATGCATCCGTCAATTTTCACAGCTTTTCATTCTTTTGGAATAGCAAAGCTGCAATTTGAGGAGGTTTCATTCAATGGTCTGTTGATAGTTTCTTGACATTGCTGATTTTGTTGACGACTTTGTAGCTTCCTTTTCAACCTGTTCGCTGAAAGGAAAACGGATTCATTGATAACGAAGCGTAGCAAGCTGCTTGCCTGCCGTATGTGAGCAGCGGAAAATACTGAGGCACACTTTTCGAATGAGCCTTTCTACCTGAGTGAAGTTCGAATGCGTTTCTATTTATGTGGTGGGATTACCCTTATTTGACCTAACTGTGGCGCAGTCAGATGCAGAGCACATGTAAATTGATCTTTACCTTTCAGCCAGTCCGTCAACTGAGACTGTACAGCGAAGAAATTTCCGTACTCGAACTATTAAGGGACGATCTTTGGTGCTTCCAGGTTCTCTTAGGTGGTCTCACCATTTCACGGGGTTTTCCAATATTATAAGTGTGCACATTTGAAGTAAACTAGTGCATGAAATGATGTGAATGCAAAGAGGGACTGAAGATTTGACCTAAGACTGAAAAATACGGAGGCAGTTAACTCAAACAGTATACCACTTTATTAAATAGAACATGCTTGGAAAAAAGGGCATCATGCTAAAATTGCGAAGTGAATTTAATTTTTCCGGAGCGAGTTTTACGGTCTGTAACACTGAGGTCATTTAATTCGTGGCCATTGTCGTTGTACATTTGCAGTAACAAAGATACATTTCGCATCATTTTATTTCCTAGGGCAATACTCTTCTCCTCACTAATGATAGTTCAGAAGCCGACCTGTTAAATGTTATTACCAAAGAACACGAATATGAGTTTCTACGCCGCAATTTTAACAAGCTCATAGCTCCTCTAAAGGGTATTTTTCAGTTTATTGAGGATTTTTGCGACGAGTAAATCAACATGATGCGTTGAGGCTTCATTCAGAGCTCTGCTTTTATAACTCAAAGTTGCTTAAGACACCTGCCATGAACTTTCGACTGTAACTATCGAAATATTCTATATTGCTCGCAAATAAGTAACTTTATGAGTATTGACGTTGATTTCTTACCATCACTTTAATGAATCTTAACGTGGTATCGCGTTCGTTTGCCGGAAGGGTTCACTTAAGGGATTTGTCGCCGTAGCTGTTGCATCATTAGCCGTTTTAACTTGAGCCTTTCCATAGGTCTGAATGTGGAACGTTCAAGTACCTAATGCCTTTGTTGTTCAATTTAATTTCAGGTGAATTGTACAGTCAAACATCCACATCAGTCATAATTAGGACGGACAATTAATGCACATTTCATGCATTCGTCGCCCCAGTTTTGCAGAAACTGTTAAAAGGTTTTCAAAAAGAAACAACATGATCAACAGCAACCGTTGCAAGTCGCCTAATCATATTGATGATGAACGGTGAAATATGATACTAGACATGAAATAGGTTTCATTGGATAATCGTTTCTTTCGCATTCTACTTTTTAATAGACTTGTATCTTACCTAATCTGTTTCAGAACTAGTTGCAGCTGTTCATACAAACGGCCATGCAGACTAGGTTTTGTTACGAGGCATGTTAAATATCAGTTTTAGAGTTGTACATGCGTGTGTATGTACAAATGAATGCTGTCTTAAGTGGTGGCTGCATAAATGACGTTATTTAGTCAGATAAGTAACCTCTGACCTTGTGCATCTGTAGCCTCTAGTCTAACTAGTTATTGGAAAAACATCCTAAGTAAAATATTGTCAAATGCCTGTTAACTGGGAATTCAGAGACAGAGTGAACGTTATCAGTTTGCGATATTTCATCCTCGCCACGTTATCGAAAACTTCTTTTTCATGATTGCGCAGTTAGTTGCTACGAATGCTGTATGTTGTCAAAAACGCCTGTCAATTTTTTAGCGGGAAAAATTACGACAGCCTTGACTGTTTCGAGGTCACTACTAGTTTGTTTTGGATTACTGTATATACATTTTACATACTCTAAATGGATGGTTCAGATGGAAGCGTTGCCGATAACGCGTTATAGTCTACAAATTACCCCGAAGCAGAATTTTACGTTAGACTTCCCATATAGTTGCCTCGCTATGCACTTTTCACACGTAGATTTGGTCATACCATACAAGCAATGATTAATTTTATCCAGACACTTTTCTAGAGCAGTACTAAAACGCTCCAAAAATGGTCTGTCAGCTGCGGATATGTCAGATCTGTCATCTGTATTTTCTGATAACCGCCTAGTATTCCTAATCATGGTATTTTTGGGCATGCGTAGTCTTTGGCAACCAATGTCTATGTGAAATATTCTATTTCCTTAACTCTAGTGAGTGAATAACGTTTCTGCTCTTTAACTTTCAGGGATGCCAACATGTTTCTTTTGACAGGTCATTCGGCACTGGTACTCAACGCTACAAGTTACAGATTCGATGGATGGCTAGTCGTCGTTGTCGAATAAATCAAATAATAAACGCAAATTATTTCGCCTTTATTACTTGTTAGCCATACGTAAGATATCACTGTCGTATTTTCGTGCATAGTTTAAGCTATTTTAGCGCTCGATTTGATATGTCAGAATTGTGCTGCCAGATGCTTAGTTTAACGAGCAGATAGTTACGATCGGTAGTTCTTGCTTGAAAGTGAAATAACCACAGAATGCGTTAACAAATGTGTTACGCGGAACCGGCTTAGAGTGCGCCATGAGCCTTGAAAAACCGAATGATCGCCAAATGCTATTCCGCAGGCGACACAAATGTTTCTCGAAAATTTGTGCGAACATTTTCGATGTACAAGCAACAGATCGTCGCGACTGATTACAAATCCAGTCTTACGCATGTAGGACGGCCGTACTGCCTCTTTCTAGGGCTTATTGGACGATCAGTGCGCGCGCGCATATATATATATCTATATATGCTTCGTATTTCAGCGGATGGCACTATCAGATTGCAGTGTGAAGTGATCGAAGTGTGGATTTTCAGCATGACTTGTGTGCGGGTTTTAAGCCTATGGGTAGCTTTGTGGTTCGTGGTGTGCGTTATGGGTGAACAAGACGTGATTCTCTTAACGAAAGAGAATTTTAACAGCACCGTCAAGGACCATAAGCTAATGATGGTCAAGTTTTACTCTAACTGGTGCGAGAGTTGTGCGGAATTTGCTCAAGCGTACGAGGAAGCCGCAAAGCGACTGAAAGAGAACAGACCTCCAATTTACCTCGCCGAAGTTAACTGTGGCAAGGACAGCTCGCTTTGTCAGCGAATTGGCATACCAGGATATCCATATTACGCGATTTATCGTGATGGCAAATTCAGTACCGGCTACGGCGGCGCTCGCGACGCTGATTCGATAGTTGCTTTAATGCAGCGTCAGGCTAATACTAGCTGAAAACACGTCAGTTGGTGACCCTCCAACGGAATTATTGAAGTACAAATCCCCGTAATATGATTATTCTATTCTGGTGCTTTTATTCTGATGGTGGAAGCTCAGTAAATTTACATATACTTAGTAGTTTTCTTTTCGTTATATAATGAAGATAGCAATGTTAGTAAACACGAATAACTTGCATGAAAGGTTTTGATTTTTAAAGCCTTAAAAGAATAAAACTGATATGCCCAAATATGTGAGCGGCAGTAATACTGTAGTGCGTGATTGTTGGGACAGACTCACGGTTGTGAGTGGCATGACACTTAATGGCAAAACGCAGGTTCGAATCATCACGAAGTATTATTTTTGAAATTATTAAGTAATAATTCCATTTAACAAAAAATTAATTTCATTGCGCTTTGGAGATCAATCTGAAAAACGAGAGCAGTTTAACTGTCCAAGAAAACTGGGACAGAATACTTCTGGAGCGGTTATGCTAGAGCCCACGAAACGTGCGATGATTACTTTGTCTGATGCAGTGCGTCTTAACCGACCTGACAGCTGACTTAATGAACGTCAGCCATAGGATGTAACTGTAAATT